ATGGGACTATAGTATTTACCTTCTCCAGAGAGCTGGACTTTCTGAGGTAAGTTGAAATAAAGCATGAGAAAGAATTTTGGATTTAAGATGCTCTATTTGCATCAGGATTTTTGAACTTGTCCATTTCCTTCCGTTTTTTTTTGGTTTAACAGTACAATTCTGAGGCACAGCCTTCTTGTACCATATTCACCCAGAATAAATAAACATGATTTATGTTTGATGGTTTACTTTGATATCCTTCTTTATTTCTCCAACACTTGGTATTAAGCCCCTGCTAAGCATCAAACTTGTCCTAAGGAAATGTGGTCAGCACACCCAGGAAGGTCCACTGGGGAAACCTGTCTTCCTTGGTGCACTTGAAATGATTGGGCTAATCTTGGACCAATGGAAAGATAAATCAAATATAAGGTACAAAGTCTGCTTTTCACACAGTGCCATGGCGATTTCTGCTGCTGCCCCCAGGTAACCACACCTTCCAAGAGTTCCCTTCCCTGTAGCAGCTAGTTTTTACAGGCCAGGTCTCCAACTGATGGATGAGATTCATACTCAGGGGCCTCTCCTTCTCAGCTTCCTACTCCAATCTCTGGATGATCCCCTCTCCCAGATCCAGAGCCCAGGACCTAATGAAGATGGATGCCTTGTCTTGTGGCACAGCAGCTCTGCAGGGAGGCTGCCTCTTGAAGGACAGAACCCTTCCCCTGGCAAGAAGAGCCAGAGGCCAGCACCCATCAAAGGAGAGTCTTACTTGGGGGCAGGTCATGGATCCCCAGAAGCACTTCCATCTTTGATTTTCTGCTGGGTCACTTGCCAAAACAAAACTGACTCTGCCAAAAGACATCCTTCTGCATTTCCAATACATGGATACATGGGCAAAACAAATCAATTTGAATTTTCCCTATACTTTCAACGCTTTGTTTTTGAATAACAACAAAGAAGTCCCTCAAGCAAATACTATTTTGAGACTAATTTCTGGAGGCTCCTAGCAGGCAAATCATTCCCTTTTCTTGTTGTGTGTTCTTTTTAGTGTTGAAAAGAAATGACTTAAGGGAAGATGGTGGGTTTTACTCTTCAAATACTGAACAGGTGCCTTCAGAAGGATTCCTGGATCCTCTGGTAGTTGCAGGGGGCAGGACAGGGGGAGACAGACAGGTAGCAAATGGAGATTTGGGTTGGAAAGCAGAATACTCCAATACTTTTCAACCACGCTATACAGAAGTGTTTGGAAATTTTAAAGAAAGACCCCCAGTTCCCACACCTCTCCCTAGGTAACACTGATTTAGTTTTTCTGGTGTGGAGCTACAAATGCAGATTTTTGAAGAACTGATCTTATGCCTAGGCAATCTGAATTATTACAGGAGAAAGCTGGGAAGCCATCATTTAAAAAACTGCCCATAGTGGTTTTGAGGAAGTCAGGACCCTGTGCATGGGCAGGCACTTTTGAAAAATGACTGGCTATTTCCAGATGTGTTGTATAGCTTTGGGTCCCTTTTAGAACAGAGGATTCACTGGGGCACTCGTTTGTATGGGTGAAGGATTCAGTTGTATAGATGAAGCTTCACTTCGCTCAAGAGTAAAGCTGACCAGATGACTTCAGAGCCCTTATCTTACTTTGCAAGCTGACCAGATGACTTCAGAGCCCTTATCTTACTTTGCACCCACAGTTTAAAACACCATTTTTGCCCTTGGAGCTGTTGGTCTGTTGTAAAACCACTCTCAGGTTCATGTGGAAGGTGAGTGGCTGTTATAAATTATATATATTTTAAAAAATTTAGATTTCTGATTACATATTGCTAGTAATTAAAATATAATTGACTTTGAAAGATATTGTAACAGATTGTTTTAGTCAGTTTTTCTGGCAGATTCTGTAGGGTTTTCTACTCAGGCCACTATGTTATCTCCATCCAGTCACTGCAGACAGTCCCCGACTTACCATTAGACTTGTGATTTTTTTTTGAATTTATGATAGTGTGAGAGGCATATGCAGTCATTCAGCAGCAACTGGTCTTTGCATTATGCCTTTTACTCTATTTTCTGGCTGGTGACACATGGTTCCATTCTCTACGATGACGCTGGGCAGCAGCAGCAGCAGTTAGCGACAGAGCTCAGTCAGCCACATGACCAGGAGAGGAGATGACCACTGCGCTGCACTACCTTGTGCTGCAGATTGTGAGGCTGCGTAGGCTGTGTATGCTACATGCATTTTCAGTTCATGGTTTCAATTTGCAATGGGTGTACTAAGATATAACCCCATCCTAAGTCAAGGAATATCTATTTATTTCAGGTAATTTTAATTTATGATTCCATTTGATTTTTTTTAGGGTTTTCTTTTCTTTGTGGAGAGACTTCTATGTTTTTAATTACTTGTTAAAGATTTTCTTTTATGTCCTCAAGCATCTAAAAAACATTTATAACAGCTGATTCAAAATAATTTTTTTTCTTAAAGTCAACTTCTGTGTTATTTCAGGGTCAGCCTCTATTTTGCTGCTTTTAAATATGTCTAATCATTTTAGCTTGTATCTAGGATATTCTACATGCTTTGGGGTAGATTATTCTTTTATATTTCTCAGGAAAGTTTCTTTTTAAATATGTATGCATTTTTTAGAGTAAGACATTTAACTTGCTAGACTAAAATCCTAAACTCCATCTCCAGTATTGCAGGCAGAAGCAGAGTTCTCTTCTTTTAGCCTCAGCTGGATTTGTGCAGATCTGTTCCACACAGTTCAAAAGTACAACCAGAGATCTGTGGAGACTTTATATGCAGAATACAGGGCTACTCATTCTTGACTCATTTCCTTTTGCATTACCCCTTGCTCCTCTTTCTAGCTGATGTGGGCACCCTGAAATTTGTCCTCTGGTTCCCCAAGTTAGTAAGACTATGAAATTCCTATGAGGTTTCAGCTGCACCATTTTGTGGCTGACAGGAGCCAGTCTTTAGGTTAAAATATATATATATATATATATATATATATGTGGGAAAAAACCCAGTGCCGTTATTTTCTTCCCACGGCTGTCTTCTCTCACATTTCTTCTTATTTTTGATTCTTTGTCAGTGCCTTCCTGTAGTTATTAAAAGTATTTCCCAGTTCATAGTTCTGTCTGCAGGAGGGAAGGCCCAACAAGAGAAGCTTGGTCATTTTACTTAAGGAGCAGACTGTTTAGCTGGAGGGACAGGCATCAGTTACAGGGAACAGAGAAAGAACGACTCCAGAAACGGCATGAACAAGGGCACAATTCATCCATGCATTTATTTATTCAACAAATATTTTGGAGCATCTGCTCTGAGTAGGGCTCTTCTCAAGGCACAAGAAAACATAATGTTGGCTGTGGATATATATATATTCTATAACCATTCAAACTGAGAGATAATTTGAAATAAGTTAGCTTTAGAAGGGATTTGAAAAAAAAAAAACAACCAACAAATCCAGGATTAGGTTTCTCAAAGAGAGGATAAATATGTCCTACATTTGTATTTTCCAATATGGTCTCACTAGTCACATATGGCTATTGAGCACTTAAAATGTGATTAGTCTTGAAGTGAGATGTTCTAGAAGCATAAAATGTACCCCAGATTTTAAAGACTTACATGAAAAAAGAATGTAAAATATCTCATTGATATTTTTTGAAGTGTACTACTTTGGCTACATTTGGCTGAATAGTTATTTTATTGTAATTATTTTTATTGTTTCATTTGACCTTTTAAATATGCCTACTGGGAAATTTTAAATTACGTATGTGTTGCATATTCTTTGACTATTGGACAGCAGCGGTTTAAACCAAATGTCAACAAATATTTTTTAAAATTTCAGGTAGGTAACACATTGGGCTTTGGAGGTCATATGAATGTTGCAGATCAGTATAGTGCAAAAGTAGCACAGATAATATAAAAACGAATGACTAGCTATGATAAAATAAATTTTTTTATAGACATTGGTATTGTAGTTTCAGGTAGTTTTCATGTGTTACAAAATTTCATTCTTGTCTTGGCTCCATCTGCTCTGTGATTTAAAAGTATAAAAACCATTTTTAATTTGCAGGACATATAAAGTAAGGTGGTGGGATGCCTGTGACCTGAGGGCCTTTGCTTGCTTCACTGTAGTCTAGATCATTATTTTGAAGGACCCTAGTGGCAATTTTCTTAGAAAGTATCATGTTAAATAAAACCTGTGGGAGGTAGAGTCATTGTTTGCAGTTCTGTAGTTTATCCACACCAGCATGACACATCTGTGCCCTGCTCAGGTGACTCAGTGGCACCAGCTGGCAGAGCTGGGGAAATATATTTTCCCATCCCCTTGAGAGTGACCTTGCTGGTAAAGTGCAAGTAGAAGTGGCAGTGGAGAGACTGTGTTTCCATTCACTTTTTTGAATTTTCTGCTATTATCATGAACCAAGTTTCCCTTGGATTGCTGCTGCCATTTTAGCTTTGGTCCCAGATGCTCACATTAAATAGACCAGAGCTCAGACTTCAGGTGAGACATACCAGGCATGGTCTGATCTGCAGCTTGAAGCAAAGCCACCTAACTGATCTGATTATAGGTCTATAAATTCATAACTGATCCACAAATCTGAAAGAAATAAATATTTATTGTTCTGGGTTACTAAGGTTGTATGATTGTTATGCAGCATACACTGACCATTACAAATTCTATTTTCATTTCCCTTCCATTGTTCTTCACTTTATACCAGTCTACCTTGTCTTTATCTGGAAATTCTTGGCACTTACCTGCCCATCTGAATTTACAGTGTAGTTTTTACATCAGGATTGCATTTGCTTGCAGGGTTTCTCAGCTTCAGATGTTGTTTATTTCATACCTACAATGGGAGAAAGACATCCAGTTAATCCAGACACAACTGAGTTTAGAAATGACTTAGATCTAATTTTACTCACTTCATCATTCCCAAGTTACTCTTTCTGCTTCCTTTGGTTCTGTGTGTTTCAAATCATTTCCCACTGTTTATTTTTAATTTCTACTTTATTTTAATTATTTAATAGGTAGCATCTGTGCAGTGCCTGTCATTCATCAAGCAGTTTGTTTTCTGCTTATGGAATCACAAAAATATTTAATCTGCTGCTTCATTAGTGCCACCATTCTTCAAGCTGCAGACTACAGGATCTTACTTCTTCTTCTTCTGAGTGTCCTGGAGGGACAAGATTCTGGGAGGTGACAGAGGTCCTCTGACAAGCCAGCACCCAAAGTGTCCCTGAGCAAGTAAAGAAACACCCCTTCTTTCAACTGCTTTTGTGAGTAAGTGTGTTTTTTCTTAAATGTCTCCAGGTAACACAGTGTGGACGACCTTGTCAATGATTGGTGTTAGGGATCAGTGCTCAGCATTAGTGATGTTTTCCTATCCAGACCCCCTCGCCTTTCTGGGATGGATCCACTGGGTAGGATTCAAATTGCAGGTCTGTAGGGTTGTATTTTCTCAGGCCTCAGGGACCTGACCCTAGAAGCCATCTTAATTCTCAGTTATAGGGTATGGATTCCACAAATAGGAAGAGGTTGGCACAGATGGGGAAGAGGCACCTAGAGTGGTAATGAAAATTATTAATACCATTCCAGCTATTCCCAAAGTATTTACAATCTTCACACTTCAGGATGATCCAAGCCAATAGTTTTTCTGCCAAAGTCTTCTAAGGTGAGGGGTCTCAGTTCCCTCACCTGTAAAATGATCTGCTGTAATGAGATAGTTTCTTAGGGTTTTGCCATCCTAAGCACTGGAAGAACTTGAAATAATGGCGAAGTTAAAATCTGTAGACTCATTTTTCTCCTGCAATTTTATGAAGGGCCTAACATCCTGCCAATAGTTTGTGCACAGTCTGTTGTGGTTTCTGAAATATTTCTAGAGATCCATTCTTTTGGAAAAGGCATGGAAGAAATGTTCCCAGACAGGCATTGAGCTTACACCTGCCATTTACATCTTAGTGAGAACCAGTGTACACGATTATTTAACTAGTCTGCTAGCACCATCTGAACAGGATTTGACCATAGAGCAGGCCGAGTGAATGTTTGGGGAAGGGCAAGGAGCCAGCAAAGTGACAGGTGTGGGTGTATTTGGTTGGGCACAAAGGAAGGGAGGAATACAGGAGATGTTTCAGGGGGGAATACAGGAGATGTTTCAGGCTTTAGAAGGTTCCTTGGAGCTCAGTTGTGAGATTTGCAGATGGACTGGAACAATCTGCCCTGGAACAGGTTGCCATCTAGCTGTGAAGACAACACACAGGAAGCAGCAGGAAGCAGCAGGAAGCAGCAAGAGGGACTCTTGCTGGGGCTCCCAGCTTCCACTCCTGGCCCTGCACAATCTGTTCTGTTCTCCACAGCAGCCAGTGTGAGCACTAAAAAAACTAACATCAGACCATGGATTTTCTCAAAGTCCTTCAGTATCTTCCTAACCAGCCGAGAACACAGCCAACATACTCACCATCATCTACAGCTTCTCCCCATCAGCTCTGTCGCACCCTGACCTCCTTTCTTCCTTTCCTCCTTTGCTCACTACTATCCAACTGCTATGACCTTGGCCTTGTTCACTTAATGCATCAGGTAAACCTGTACCTCATCCCTGGAGGAGGTGTTCCTTGCCCTAGGAGCTTCTCTGTGAAGATATTAACATGTCTCAGCTCTCTGCTTCATTTAGGCTGCTGCCCACATGTCACCTCCTCAGACCCTTGTTCCCTGCCTATGCTTTGATACAACTTTATCTTCTTCAGAGCAAGTATCACCACCTCATCTTGTGTATATGTTTACTACCTTTTCTTAGTCTGCCTCCCATGTTAGAGCACAGGCTCCTTGAGGTGAAGTATTTTGCTGTGTTGTCCCTAGCTGTACATGTGGCCTCAGAAACAACCCCTGGTGTGTTGAATATTCTCTAAACAGAGTGTTGAGTGAATGAATGAATAAAGAGGACTTGTCTTGTTGGAACTCTGTTCAGCTGGTTGAGTGCTTATGATAGATAGATGATAGCTAGCTAGCTGGGCGGATGGCTGATAGGTAGAATCTGATAGTGTACTGAGGTTGTACACTGATAGATGATATGAAATAATGAATGGAACAGTTCATGTTAATGATATCACTCCACATGTCACATAAAGAAATAGACTACAGATCAAACTAAGAAATTATTTTTGACTTTCGGAGGCATTCCAAAAATAAGTTGGGGAGAAGAACTCTATTTCCTGCCTCTACATGGTTTCTTGTAGGACCTGTCTGGGGGTCTTGTTAGAGATGGATTGTTTGAGAACTTATTTATGAAAAGAGTCAGCACTACATGAACCCTGAAGTCCTTCCATGACTCTTGGCCATTTCTAGTGCTGCATTTTCACTTGAAAGCACCATAGTTTGGACTTCATGTTGCTTCTGTTCTTTCTTTAAAAATTGTATTTCTTTTATTCTGACTACTATTGTTTGTGTCTGAAAAAAATCTTTAAACAACAAAGTCAGATACTGGTATTGTCTTGAGGGATAGATGCTTCTTCGCTGGATTGGGTGTTATTCTTCAAGGGGTGATTACTCCTAGCAAGTATAGTGAGGGAAGGCTTCCTGAAGAAGGCAAGACACTTTGACGTTGACAGATGTCTCCTTGGAAAAAGAGACAAAGGGAGGAAAGTTAGGTACAATTGTGTTGGCAAAATGCTCTGAACCCAAGAAGCAATAACATCTCCCCCATCCTTTTGCTATGTCCCCGCTCTCTCTGGGAGCCCACTATGTGTAGGGAAGTGGGAAGCAGGACCCAACCCTCCTATCTGCTCCTAGCGCTGAGCATCTGAAGAATCTCCCCAACCCAGGGGATGGTCACTTAGGTTCTGGTGCCACCCTTTCTGGAACACATGTCCAGTTAGGAGCGATTCCTACCACAATTCAAGTGTCCTGGAGGGAAGGAGCAGGAAGAGAAGGACAGGAAACCAGCAAACCGACAACAGTGGATCACAGCTAAGTTTACTTAAATATCCTCAGAGCAGGATAATAAAGGGGAGAGGGCTTGGAAATTGGGAGCCAAATTAGTGAAACAAATGTTGAAAGTAAAAATTGTTTTAAAAAGTCATAAAAACAAAGAATGCAGATTTCTTTACCCATGACATCACTTAACTGCATTTTGGGCAGAACGTGTGCACCAATTCCACATCTTCTTAGGACAGAAAGTGACCTGAGAGTAGTGGGTAAATGGAAGCAGTATTGATCTAGGAACTTCTGACCCAATGTGGGGAGGACACGTTTTCAGGAACCAGCAGGTAGTTTAGCTGCAGCCTCTGGATGATAAAGGTCAACTCAGTCCAAGATATTGTGAAAATCTTAATCATTAAATCTCATGACCTGTGGAGAAGAGAGAACGAGTATCAGTCCTTGGTTCCCCCTCAAAGGCATAGACTTTAAGCCTTATTGCAGGAACTAGAGTTGTAAAATCATCTCTCCTAAGAACAAAATCAAACCTTTATGCCATTTTTGCCTTGGAAAGGTATACTGTGTAATCAGCCAGCTTGTTAGGCTGTTTAACAAGGTAAAGAATATTAAAATATTTGTCTGTGTTTCTGTACTTTCTCAGAGCTATAAGCATCACAGGACAGAGCTTGCCGATCATTTATTGGACTGCCTGGATAACAGTGTGTGGTGGACACAACCATCTGTAACTAAACAAGATGCTTGAAAAATGTGGACTGTCTGGTGCCATGATGGTATTTCCCAGAATGGAATCCAGAGCAGCTTCACCTATTGCTCACAAGGGTGGACTGATTAACCTGCTGGGCTTTGGGAAGATCATTAGCAGTCTTTCCCCTTACATGGCTACAGAAGGGAAAACCCATCTGGGGGCAGCCAGTGTCAAGGGGTTCAGGCAAACAATCAATTTGTTTTCATGCTCCAAAGATATCAAATCTTAGGGTGCCTGAGAAAGGACCTATGAATAGAATTCCTTGTCTTCCTCAGTTCTGAATAAGTAACAAATTTAAGAGTGTGAGTGAACTCCAAATGCTTCCCCACTTATAGTTAAGTTGGACGTGGCAGGTTCAGTTCTGTTAACTGATTGGACTTGTCAGTAGGAAGCTCTAAAATTAGGCAGCTTGATCCAACCCTTCCAGATAGTACTGAAATGGGCAAGGCTTTGCATGGAAGAAGTGCATCCAGGTCAGAGTTTTGGGAGAACTCCTGCTCTTCATGGACTGGCTGGCCTATGTAGGTAGTGAAATCAGAGCATCTCTTTATTTGTCTCAAATTGCCAACAAAATGAGTAATGGGAGATGTGGAGGAACCAATGTATTTCAGTCACAGAGCTCCCTGCACTTGGAAAAAAGCTTCCTCCATCCTTAAAATTAGTGTGTGTAGGAGGGCTCCCCTTGCTGGAAGACCAAGTTCTCAGGCCCATCTGCTCAGTATATCCATCCTCTCTGTTCTGCAGCCTCCTCAGATCTTAATGCAAACAGAGCTGCTCCATCTTTAACCTACTGTGTTAAACAGTGGTGCTCAGGCACCAAACGCAAATAAAGGGATACATAGCAGGAAGGTGGCTCTTAGCTCTTCTCTCTCCTGTGTTTTCCAAGGCCTTTGCCATGCCATGAACTGATATTACCTCCCATTTACAGGAAGGTATCAGTCTTTAAGGGACCTCCTGGAAGTCTCTCTCCCACACTGTAATTCACACTGCATGCTATCACTGGGCTGATGTCTTGAAAACACCATTCTTACCCAGTCACTCAAACTCTAAGTCTACATTTCCTTGTTGTAAAATGGATATGTTTATGTTTTGCTGGTTGCCTACCTCACATTGTTGTTGAAAGGATCTGCACCCTGTGAATGGAAAGGTTGTGTCTATGCTGGTGCTCCTACCTGTCCTGGGGACTCATTCTCCCTCCTGTCTACCAGATCAAGTTGGTGTCATTGTGCTTGGTATCCAGGCCTCCACGGGAAGGCACATTCTTGGTTCTTGATGTTTGTCCCATATTTCCCTGCAATCCAGGTTCTCTTTTCCTTCCCTACCCAGCCTTTGGGGAAGCTTTCCTTCACTACTACTGCTCTCAGGGTTCCCCTCTGCTCCAGGCTCTTACCGGTTCTGTAGCTGGAATAATGGCTCAACTGTGGCTGCACATCAAAAATACCCAGATAGCTTTTTTTTTTTTTGGTTTTTTTCCGGTACCGGGAATTGAACTCACAACCTTGCACTTGCCAGGCAGGCGCTATGCCACTGAGCTAAATCCCCAGCCGTCCAGATAGCTTTTACATGATGCCATCACCTGTACCATACTTGGTTTCAGTGGAACTGAAGCACCTTAGAGCGGAATGAAGTTGACTGTGTTTTCTAAGAGCTCTTCGGTGGCTCTCATGTACAGCCGGACAAAGCACCTAGCAGTTAGGTCTTGCAGGTGGCACTGAATTCTTTTGGTCTCATGAGTACAATCTTCCTGATTGCTCTGAAATTTCCATGGGGCACAGGCCCTGCTCCATCTCCTCTTTTCCTCTGTGTACTGTTTTCCTCTGCGGGGCACCTTTGACTTCTATAGGTTGTGAATGTGCTTCAGTACTCACTCAGCTGTCCTGTCTCCTGTCCCCCAAGTCTGAACATGATAAGCATTAGTCAACCCTGTGGGGTGTGGTGCAGCAAAGACCCATTTGTGCTTACCAGTGGGGTTCAAATATGGCACATATGCTCTGTGCGGTGGTACAGGATTTCAAGAAGTCCCTGTGTCTCAGGACCCCTTACCCTCTTTCTTTTTGCTGTGGTTGGAATGAGGAAGCAACAGAAGTAAATGGCTAAGCCCATACATCCAGAACTAGTGTTAGAAGGCAGTGGCAAGGCATTTTCATGCCAGATAGTTTTTCTGGTGAACTCATGAGTTCAGGGCCTGGATGCCCAAGACAAGGGTCATTTAGTGGTGACATAATTGCAGTTCATGTCTCATTAAATAGTGCTCACTGGCCCACACCTCACATACTCTAAGTCCATGGTTCCCCTCTTTGGCACCAGTGAGCTTATGTCAGGGCTCTCAGGTCTTTTGGGTCCTGATGGTTACAGATGTGGAAGGGAGCCAGCAGCACTCAGAGCTCAAGAATAGAATTCCTACTTTCAACACATATGTTAATGATTACCTCTTTCTTGTTTTTTTGAGACAGGGTCTTACTTTGCAGTTTAGGCTGGCCTTGAACTGACTGTGTAGCCAAGGCAGGCCTTAAAATCACTGTGATCTTCCGCCTGCCTCAGTCTCCTTAATGCTGGGATCATAGACATGCTCCATCACTCCTGGTGTTACATTTATTTCTCAGATGCCACTCATGTATGGCTGGAAGGTGATGCTGTGCCCAGCAGTGGTCATGAACCCATTCTATGCCCCTTTCTGCACGGGCATGGTTCCAGCAATGGTGATTCATTCAGCTGGACTTACTCTGGGAAGCTTTGGGTGGGTTGCAGTTACTGGAATGCTCTGAATTCCTCTCTGTTGTGCTTTTGTATAAATCCCAGGCATTACATAACCGGTCTTCTGCTCTCCTGACGTCTTCTTGGTTAGCTTCTGTATTTAGATTCTCTTCAGAGTACCTTTGGTCTTTCTGGGATGTTCATAGTGAGTTTCTTTCAAGATCCCTCTTTCTTGGTGCCTGTTACCTAGGAAATCTTTCTCTTTTATGCAAAAACCACCAGCTTGATGGCATTGTGCTGCTGCTGCAATTTTAGTGTCTTCTCAGGTACAGAACCCCTGACTGTCTACTGTACTTCATATCCACCTTCCCTATCACTCTTTCAATCTCACTCCTAAGCAATCATTTGGCATAAACTCAATAGTAGGTTTGGCTTGACAGGCTCATTGTTAACTGTGACTAAGGCAGCTCAGAATGTCAATAGTGCCTGCTACAAATGTCTTGCTTTGTCTCATATCAGGCCACTCTGCATCTACTGAATGCTTGATTTTTGAGGAGCTGGGATCAGGGTCCCCTCTGGAAGATGCCACTGTGGTTTATAGTATGTCATAGTTGAGATCAGTATGTCTTCACCGATGGAATTCAAACATATGTATGCTTGGTAGATTGGTGAAGTGGGGCAACAAAAATCTCTTGCTTTAGTGGCTATGTCCTAGTCTCTGTGACTCAGACGCTGGGCTGGGATGACACTTGCATCAATGTTCTTCATTTGCCTTGACAGTACACATGTGCATGTGTATCTGTGGTCTGCAATAATTACAGATACGCCACCTGCCACATCCCAGAAGCGAGGGGTGGTGCTGGGGGGTGGGGTGGTGGTGGAATGACAGCAGTTTTGCATTTGTGGGATACTTTTCAAAATTCATGTATTCAGTGTTCTCTCCTCCCTCTCTCAGGGTCAGCAGGCACATCTGCAGAAACTGCACCTCTTGCTTCCTGGCACAGGAGTCTGTCGAGGACACCTGGCTTCTTCCTGCTCAGCACAGAGGGAGAGGCATGAGGGTCTGTGGGCTCAGCAGCAAGCATCTGAATCTCATGGAGACGTTTCAGCAAGTGCACTGGGAAGACATATGCTCCATGTTATTTTTCTGGAGTTGGGAACAGAGCCAGAAGTACGTATTTTATTTCATTCATTCCTTTGTTCAACGTGATTTAGGTTACTAGTGTGTGTCTTTCCTTGTTTGCAGAATTTGGAGTGGGGGAAGGGAGACAGAGTTCTATAAGCTATCTCTTCCCTCCAGTCTGTGCAGAACACACACACACACACGCACACACACACACACACACACACACGACATGAATAAGACAGTAAGAAGAGTACAGGACCAGATGCTCATTAGGCTGAGTGAGGGGGGCTGTCATTCTGGAGAGCTGCCCCCCTAGATGTTGCCATGATTGAGTCTTCAGCCCTATATTCATTCACAGGCTGAGCCTAACTGGTCTAGCTGTGAGCCGAAATCAGCACAAAGAAGGAAAAGGAATATCCACATTTATGTTGAACACTGCCATCTGAGAATGAAGAAAATAGAGTCTATCTGTTTTGTATCCATGTTGCAGGCTGCAGACACATCTTTGTTGAATGCCTTTTGCAGATAGCCTACAGTTCCTGAGGCTGTGGCCCAGAAAAAGATGCACTTGTTACAAATGAACATGCTATTCTAAAACAAAGCAATGGCTTCATTTCCCCAATGCTGCATGAATTGAGTACTTTGAGGGCCCTAGAAGAGGCCTCAGTTCCCTCCTCCACAACTTGCATCAGGCAGGGATTCTAATGGGTGGGAAGATATGGGGAAGGAGGACTTTGCTTGGGCTGAGAATTAGATCAATTATTGATTCATGAAATCATTTCTGTGTAGTGTGAGGGGCAGAGGTCTGGACTGAACCCTGCTGTGGTTGAGCTACATCAGGGGATCAGGCAAAAGGGACTTCAGTCAGTGGCCTCAGAGCTCCCCAGAGAATAAGCAGTTTTTAGGGAAATAGGAAGGAAGAGGCCAACTTCCTGGGTTGCTTTTGACAGATCTTAACGTTCTGGAAAAGTCTTCCTTCGGCAGCACAGATACTGGAATTGGAGGGACACACGGAAGATGGGGATGACCCCTGTGCAAGGAGAAACTCAACTGTTCTGGAAAAGCAGAGCATGAGCCTCCACCTCCCCTCTCTGTGAAGTGGGTCTCTAAGGGGTGTCCATTTTGTGATCTTTTATTGATGTCTATAATTTGTTTGTCTATATCTTTGGGAAATTTTATTTAGTGCACTGAATTGCTGAGATTGCTGTTGGTTTGCTGTATTTAAAAATACAATAAAAGACATGAAAAGATTGACAGTAAAATGTTTATCAGGTAACAGTAATCTTCACAGATCCACAGATCCACTTCTGTCTTATAAATACTGAAGTTAGAGGCCTAAGAAATATCCAAGAAGCCATTGATTTTTTTCATTTGTTCATGGAAATAAAATAATAGAAACAACAGTCACAGATATGTGCCTTGAAACACCTGTGATGTATGAAGCGCTCAGAATTGTTGCATCACTGAACAAGATGGAAGAATCTGTGGTACTGCTGCTGGGGACTCTGGGACCCCACGATTTGTATGACCACTGATGATGCCATAGATGTGTTGCCAATCTAGACAAGTTAGGGCAAGTTCCAGAAAGATTTCTCCTTGGCCCTTCTGCTTTGAGAAGAGTCCTGAAGGGCATTCTCTTTATCATTCACAGCCACAACAGAGGAGCAAGCTGGATGAGTGAGGGTGTGGGGATCTCTTGTCCAGCAGGTGGACAGAACTGTCACTGATCCTCAAGCCTGCAAAAGTTGGAACCACCTAGTAGTAGAGAAATGACCAGGGCAGCTACAACAAGGAAGCTCCTGAAACTTGGCTCCTTTCTGCAGCTATGAACTTGAGTGCTTGCAACTTTGCATCTAAGAGCATGTTTGCTTTTCTATGTAGACTTCTCAGTACTTGAACTTGCTGGCTCCTTTCCAGACAACATCTGTGTTGTTCATTATAACAAGTCAAAACAGTGACCTGGTCATTCACTCACAGTTTTATCAGTTGCCTGTGGTGGGAGTTTCATTGTAGAAGGGCTTACAGCTAATGTGCTGAGCTGAAATGCCCAGCCTTCTTAGGATGGATATCTGTGGGCTCTGTGATGGAACACTGTCAGGGGCTGCAGAGTGGCAGACCACGTCCTGGTGATTTGGTTCCCTATCTGATCATTTGCTTATGGAGCTCCCTTGATGTTGGGAAAAGTTCCACCTCTGAGTGAGAATTTGGAAATGTGTTGGCACAACAACATGGACAGGAGGGGTGGGGACAGGTCACATGAGTGAAAAATTGTCCTTCTTCCTGCATGAATCTCAGATGTCTTAGAGGACACTGATGTAGATGAGAAACCTTTCGATAATTAGGGCCCTAGATCCAAGTCTTCTATATCTAGCATAACATGCTTTATGCACAATTCCAATCTGTACTGACCTTCCCCTGTGTAAATGGAGAGACTCTGTTTCATTAGGTTAAGAAATTTACCAAGAATGATTCGCATGGTTTTAATGATGGAAAATCATTATCACCAATGGCAATATCTGCAATGGTGTTGGTATTGCCTACAGTACACCTGGAACAACCTGCACAATCAAGCTGTCTCGACCCTAGTGAGTCTGTGTGACGCAGAGCGTCTGGCCGCTTTATCCTGCCTTCAGGTTAGTTAGTCCTGGAGCATTTGAAGATTAAAAACTGTGTTATTTTATATATTCTTTCCCATGTGTTTCCCTACTACGTTATTTTTAGGCCACTATATTAGTGGTGTTTTTCACATCATTTTTGATTGATGCTTCTTTTATCTAAGAATGCAATTATGCTGCTAACGTGAGCTGAGGTTGGTTGTACTTTGGCTCTCTGTTATCCATGACTTTCACATGAGGTGAGTGAGGGGATGACTAAAAGCTCACTGAAAATGCAGCATTGGTTCTAACTGGCTTTGCTGGGAGGCAGTGAAGGAAAGTCTGGCGTGGCCAGTCCAAGGGAAGTATAAGTCCATCTGCCAAAGTCTTTGCATGGGGAAGTAGAGGCACGCAGTTTTCTGTGTCAGGTTCTGTCCCTCGACATTCACATGACTTGGCTCAAACACCAATGGGCCATTTGTGAATTGGTCAGTTGGTGTAAGATTCAGCTCCTTTCTGAGTATGTTCTCTTCCATTTGGTGTTCTATATTCTTTTTAGTGTTTTCTCTAAAACTCATGAACCATACTTTTCCTCTCTCTCTATCTCCCCCCTCCCCTCCCCCATCTCTTCTCTTTCTCTTTTTCTGAATTCAGTTGTCCCTTGGTATCTGTAAGGTATTGCTTTTAGAAAGAACTCCAAGCAAATACAAAACTCTGTGGATACTCAAGTCTCCTGTACAAGTGGCACCGCATTAGCATATAGTCTGCATATACTCTTGTATACTTTAAATGCTCTTTGGATTATATTACCTAATACTTTCATTATATTATATAATTACATTACCTAATATAATGTAAATATGATATAAATAGTTGCTGTACTATATAGTTTAAGAAGTAGTGGTAAGAAAAGTCGGTGCATGTTTAATACAGATGCAATTTTTAAAAAAATTTGACCTGTGGTTTCCTGAAAATGCATACACATTTTTTCCTAGTACATTTGTAATAAGTGCACAATAACAGCTCATTATTCCTGAATAGTTTAGTGTATATTTTCCAAGAACAAGGACATCCACCTATAAAACCACAATCTAACAATTCCACTCAGGAAGTTAACAGTGAGTTTTACACTAGTGTCACACACATTCTACCACAGACCCATTCACAGACGTGCTTGTGCTAGTGATGCTCTTTATAGCTGCAAGCACCAATTCAAGGTCACTCAGTGCACTTAGCTGTCATGTTTTATTAGTCTCCATTACCCTCCGCAGATGCTTGGTTTTCACTGTCTTTCCTGACCTCAATACGCCTTGAGTATAGGTCTGTTACTAGAAGACCGTTCCATAGGTTGGTATTTCTGATGTTTCCTCATCAATAGCTTCAGGTTGTACATTCTGGGGAAAAAATTAAAGAGATGGTGCTGTGTTCTCTCAGTGCACCAATTCAGAAGAACAAATGTCAGTTTCTCCATGATAACATGTGTGTATGTATGTATGTATGTATGTGCCCATGGGTTATTTTATTTGATGGGCTACAATCCAATATAATTTATTTTGATGTTGATGTTGTCCCCAGTTTGTCTCCTGGAACCCATGTTTAGCTGGATCCTGTGTCTCTTGAACAGTGGTTTTATTATTTTGGCTCCAAATGATCTGTGCTTGCACATTCCTTGCCCCAGCCCTGGAATCAACGATTTCTTCAAAAATCCCTGACTCTTTTAGAAATCAAGGTCCAGGGCTGGGCATGTTCACTACTCATGGCTGTCTTGATCCTAGACGTTCTCATCAGACAGAACTAGAACACTTACATCTGCAGATCTCTGCCTGGGTTCACTGACATCTGTGCACAAGTGTGTTTGCCCATCCCCTGGAAATGGCTAATAAACATCAGTACCTCTAACCACAATCCAACAGCATGTGGTCAGTTCTAGCCTACCTCTTTCCATGTTTGGACTCCATTCTCATTAGGGAGAAATTTGGCTCATATAGTCTCAATTTTCCTATTATTTTGGTTACCTTGTTTGTAACTAATCCAATCTCTCTGTCACAGGAGCCCCTCCTTCGCCGGGGACTCCCAGCTCACCTGCCCCACTCCTGCCGAGGGTTCTTTCAGAGCAATAGAGGTAGTACTTTTATAATAATACGTATTTAATAAATGTATATTTTTAATGACACATCAACTTTTTTTCTGTACTCATCTCAAAACCAGTTATTATAGATCATATGTTCCATTTGGTTTCAAGTCTTTATGTTTGAAAAGTGACTTTATAGGTGAGTGTGGTGGTGCACACCTGTAATCCCAGCACTTTAGGCTGAGGCAGGAAGATCACAAGTTAGAGCTCAGCCTGGGCAACTTACAAACTTAGTGAGACCCTGTCCCAAAAAATGTACAGAACTGGGGATGCAGCTCAGTGTGAAGACCCTGAGTTCAACCCCCAGTGTTGGATGAAAGAAAGAAAGAAAGAGAGAAAGTGATAAAGAAAGAGAAAAGAAAGAAAAGAAAGCAAAAGCATGACTTTCTTTGGCCTTTTCTCTAGAATAATAGTTTAGTTGCATATAAACACTGCATATTTTTTTTCCTGGTATCTGGGGTTGACTATAGGACGTGTTCTTTCAATCTAAATTTCATAGCTCTCCTTTTAAAGATAGATTTTAAAATTTACGTCATGCTTTTAATGGTCTGCCACTTGACAATGATGTATCCAGATGTTGATTTATTTTTATTTTCCTTGCCTGATAAGTGGAGGTCACTCTGTTGTTAAGATTTCTCTTTCTTTTTCTGGAAAATTCTCTTCTGACTGCTGTTACTATACCCTCCCATCCCTTCTGTTCTTCTGGAACTCTCATTTAATCTATGCCACACTCTCTGCTGTCCTCCACCTTTCCTAGTGAGCCTTTCATATTTTGTGTATTTTTCTATCCGCACAACCCTTGGGCGAAATTCCAAGTACTGTCCTTGGCCTCAATAATTTGCCTCTGCCTTTTTTTTCAGGGTATGGTTTATCCCATTATTGATTTAAAAAAAATCATTTTTATATCTATGACTATAATTTTCATTTTTAAGATTTCCTGCTGGCTCATTTTCATATCATTTTCCTTGCTTCATTTTTGTCTTTGCAACATAGTTTTTTGCTCATTTAAAGGATGTTATCCTTTCATTAATCCACCTAAACATAGTTACTTCCACACTTCTATAAAGGGATTTGGATTGATTTTGTGTTTCAAATTGCTCATTTTTGTTTGCTTTCCTTTTTATGGTTACATTTTTAGATGGTTTGGAATTTTGATTTATGGCATCATTTTCAGGGATAATTTTATTTGTTATTCTTTCTCTTGAGAGAATATTTGGTAGCCTGTCTCTCACACACTCTCTCTCCCTCCCTCTCCCTCTCCCTCCCTCCCTCTGTCCCTCTCTTCTCTTGCAAATAGCTTATTCTGGT